CTGACAGCTGCACCGCGCCGCGCGCTAATGGGCGCAGCCGCCGCGCGCGCTCCTCCGCCTGGGAGACGTCCGCGCGCAGGCGGGGAGAGCTACAAAGGAAGGAGATTCAAGGGCAGGCATCACAGCCAGCCTCCGAAGGGAGCGCCCAGCCAACTAGGGCAGAAATCCGCAACTGCAAAGAGCTCGGGCCCAAAGTTTGTTTTTTCAAAAAGCAGATTTGGAGTTTTGGTTAGGGAATCTTTTGAACAGCCTCCAGTTTCCATCGCAGACTCTACAGTATGTTCAGGACTTGGAATGAATGAGTGACCAGGAAAGACTGGGATCTGAGGGATTTAGTTAATCCACAAATGTTTGAGAGCACTTGTGTTTTGGACTCTGCTTCCATCACTGGGGATGATTTCTTAAAGGAGACACAATCCAGAAGCCTTCCCCCCACCCCCATTCTCTTATTAAGTAATAAGCCTAACATTTGTAAGTACCCACTACACTGGAAAACTTAGTAGTATCTGGGCAACAGTAAAAGCAAGTTTTCCAAAGGCTCATGGGAGCCTTGAACAGGTGTTTGCTCCTAATCTGACAGGTGTTTAAATTTAACTGGAATTTTAAACTATTAAGCACCTTTTCTCTGACGCCTTTCAGTAGCAAATCAGTCCTGATCAATAAGGTAAAAAAGGAAAACGGGGCCCTCCCTGGTGATGCAGCGCGTTACAGCACAGCACTAAGAAGCTAAAGCCACTTCCGCATGAGTTTGATTCCCGCCTGCCCCGGAGGTGACCACATGGCGCGCAGACCTCTCCTGACCCGCCTGCTGCTCCCCTCAGCAGTGGACTTCGTCCATCTGCCTGTTCTGCTCCCCACTCTGTCTCTGGTGAAGACTCTCACCACCCTGCACCTCTGGCCTGTACCCCAGTTCTGTATGTATAAATACAAAATAAATTAATTAAAAAAAAAAAAAGGAAAACGTCCTTTTCTTGCCATAGACATGAATCCTGTGAAGAACAGGCCTTCCCAAGACCCATCATTTTGGCGTGTGGGTTATCTCAAGCTGAGGTCATGGATCTCTGCAGGCTCACAAGTAACTTTTGCCACTCCCTTAACTACCCAGAGAATGAAAAAAGGGGCTATTACCCGGCATTAGGGCTATTATCAGAAACAACCTTTCTATCAGAGAAACTTATCTCTAAGGCAAGCATCTAATTATGAAGCATCTGATCTTGATCTTTGAGCCAGTCTCTTCTGGTCATGTGAGTTCCCCTCCTCTGTCCTTGAAGTCCCAGGCCCCAATCTCACCCTCAACTCAGGATATATATATATCCTCCACTTCACCTCACTGTCTTTGGAATTCACATCTATGTAGGTTCTTTATATAGATATAACTAGATTTGGCTTTTCTGCTACTAGTCCTTGTTATGTTCATTTGATTGCTGAACCAGCCCAAGAATCCAGAGACATGGGGGGGACATGCCCTTCCCCCCCCCACACCCGAAAAAAGCTAAGTACAGTGGAATTATATGTCGTGGTTCTTAGCAGCTGCCGAGTTGGGGCCCCTGGCCTGGCAATGCTCTGTATATAGTTGCCCTGTGCAGTCTTAGGGACGCTTGGACATACCTGACTTCTAGAGCCAGGACTGGAGTGTGCTGAGAAGTGGAGCGTATCTGAGACCTCCATGTCAATTTTGAGAGAAAAATTCTGAAATATGAAATTATAACCATGGACATGCACATACTTGAACACAGAGCAACTAAGTCAGAATTCCTGAGGATGAGCTTCTTCAACAGTAGTCTTTGAAAATGCTCCTAGTGGTTTCCAACCAGAAGCTATAACATCAATCAAACCAATGAGTGGGTTTTTTTTTTTTTCCCTTCCATGTGTTGTTACATGCAGCGGAAGTCTCAAAAGGTGCAGGTTCAGATCAGTACTAACCAGAGATTCTGCATTTCTAACAAGCTCCCAGGTCATGGCAACCCTGCTGGTCCTGGCATAATAAAGTGGCAAGTTTCTTGAGATGGGTCCCACACAGCACTATAAACTGTGGAGTCTATCAACTTTGTAAAGGATTTTTTACCATTAGTATTTCTTGGAAAAAAAAAAGTAGACTGTTTTATTGCTGTACTAACAAGTGATCCCAGACTTTGAGTTCCAGCAATACTGTATTACCTCAGCACTTTCTGCAGGCCAATAGTGTAGTAGCAGCTTCCCTCAAGGTCTCAAGGAATGGCAAATCAAGATACTGACTGGGGCTGCAGGTGTCCGAAGTTTTGACAGGGACTGGAAGATTCGCTTCCAAGATGGTGAGCCATCAGAGATAATTCCTTGCCAGAACATCTCTCTGTAGGGTCAGTGAGTGTTGTCACAACATGTCAACTGGCGTCCTGTAAAATAGCATCCAGGAGCTAGCAAGATGGAAAGTACAAGGTCCTTTATGATATGGCCTTGGAGGGCAATACTCTGTCATTCCTGCAATATCTTACAGGCTACACAAGTGAGCCCTGTTGAGTGTGGAAGGAGATGACCCCCCCAAGCATGACTGCACATGTCCGGGACCTTGAGGTCAGCCTGCAGCCTGATAGCACAGGCTCCAGTCATTCAAGCTTTAGGACACTGACATATACAAATTCTCACGCCACCTGAGAAAAGACTAACTATAAAGATATCGTATGCCCATGTTTTAACATTTATTCCCTAATAGTGTAACCCTAAATTAAACAATTACTGCTGTTCAACAGGGGTGAGGTAACGGAATTTAAAGATTACTTATCTCTACTCTTCTTTTTCATAAAATTTTTCCTTCTTCAAGACCCCGTTGGTCAAATGAGAGGTGAGAAAAAATCATTTCAGCATCAAAATTCTAATGCAAACAAAATTTGGGGATTCTAGGTCAGCAACTCAATTCATTTGAGTTATTTTATGATTTAAAACATACAGAGCCAAAGCAAATTTTCCCCTTTGCAAGCACCTACAGACTTTATCCATAAGAGAGTCTACCTGGCATTTCCTTTGTTGAAAATATCTCTTTTCCGGCCCTCCCTGGAGGTGCAGCTGGTTAAAGCACAGCACTAAGAAGCGAAAGCCACTTCCGCATGAGTTCGATTCTGCCTGCCCCAGAGGTGACCACATGGCCGGCAGACCTCTCCTGACCTGCCCGCTGCTCCCCTCAGCAGTGTACTTCATCTATCCCCTGTTCTGTTTCCCACTCTGTCTCTGGTGAATCCTCTCACCGCCCCCTGCATCTCTGGCCTGTACCCCAGTTCTGTATGCACAAATAAATAAATCTCTAAAAAAAAAAAGAAAGAAAAGAAAGAAAGAAAATACCCCTTTTCCTTTTTCTAACCCAGAAAACTGCTACCTGTTTTGCTAATCACTTGCCCTCTAGTTCTCCTTGAGGGTTGCCAGGTCTCCATTTTAAAGGGGCCTCCGTATCCCCTCCACTCTCTCCAAATAACACTTGATTGAATAAAAGTTATTTTGTGCAGAGTGCTTTAAAAATGGTTTTATTTCTGTGCTAGAGAGCCTACCAGAACTTTGATCTAAAATTTCATATTCTTTTTGACATGATTATAAATTGACCCTCTCTCTGCTCTTGCTATATTTAATTTTAAATCATAAATTTCTGGTGGAGCTGCATTATTTTGGCAATATCCAAGAGGAGTCAGGGCAGACATGAAGGAAAGGTACATTTTTTTTGTTCTCTACACGCTTTGTGTATCACACAAATAAGTGACACAATCTTAATTCCCTGTAGTTCTTTCTGCTCACCTCCACCCAGACAAAGAAGCAGAATGTAAATTTTTAGTTAGCATATTTTGTTTAAATGAAATTTCATAAAGTAATTCCTTGCAGTTTTACGCAAGAAACCTACCCTGATTATCTCCTGGTTTCGCTTCACACTACTTTGCTTCACAAATGCATTTGTCTGGCTTGCACTTTTGGCCAGAAACTTCTGCTTTTAAAGGCAGTTTTCCAGTCACTCCATTATTTATTACATAAAAGATGCTTAGGAGTCTTTTAGATTGCCCAGTGCTGAGACTTTCTGCTGTCTCATGCTTTCATTCCTGTTCACTATGTGCCAGGCGTTTGTCCCAGAAGTAAAGTGATGAAGCAGTTATTTCCAGTGAAAGGCCCTGGCTGCTATAGACTTGAATTTTTAAAAGAGTGTTAATTTTTGTTTCACAATCTGTAATTTTTTAGTAGGTTTTCATGGGGAGAGATATGAAACAAAGATTC